TATATATATATATATATATACACACACACACACTACCGGTCAGAAGTTTTAGTCCAATGAATAACCTGAAATGATACAAGTGAAAGTAATGGGCTATCTACTCACAGTTGTTCTGTAGCAATGTGAGTGAATTAAGCCTTGAAAGTTTATGCTAACAGTTCCTCACAGTGTTGGAACAGACTGTGTTATTATACCCTCTTAAGCAATATGTGGACAGAATTGTACTGCAGGAGTATATTGCTCTCAAAATGGCAATAAAAAGGCAAATAACAAAGGAAAACAGAGACCATTATAACCCTTAAAAATGTAGGTCTTTCCTTTGGAGAAATTGCAATAAAAAGCCAAGGTGTCAGTGAGTACATTTTCCTACATCATCAAAAGGTACTTGGAAACTGACTGAAAGAGGTCTGGCAGACCCAAAGCCACAACAGAATCAAAATTGAAGTTTTTGAGAGTCAACGGCTTGCATGACAGGCGGCTCGCAGAACAACAGCTTCAAGCACAGCTTAACACTGATTGAAGTAACTAAGTCTCAGTTTTAACTGTGAGGAGAAGACTTCAAGCTGCAGGTTTGACAAGTCGAGTGGCAGTGAGAAAGCCATTGCTAAGATGGCAAAATAAGAAAGAGGCTTGTCTGGATCATGAAGCACTGCCAGTGGACTACTGAAGACAGGATAAAGGTCTTATAGACTGATGAATCAAAATTTGAGATCTTCAGTTCATCACAAAGGGTTTTTGTATGCTGCCTAGAAGGCAAAAGCAGGGTTCCTCGTTGTGTGGCACCAACTGTCAAAAATGGAGTAGGAAGCGTGACGGTCTGGGGTTCTTTTGCTGGATCGGGGACTTGCACAGAGTGAGTGGCACCCTGAACCAAAATTACTGCCACAGCATTTTGCAGTGCCATGCAATACCCTCTGGTGTACGCCTAACTGCTCCACCACTCCAAGCTCACTCCCATGAGGGACTATAATTCCAATACAAATCAATAAACCAAACCTGAGATTGTACTCCATCACGGGAGGGTGCTTGAAGTGGTGACTACTTTACAACACATGCAGAGACCATAGGAAACAAAAGTAGCCATCCTCCAGAAGGAAGGACAGTGTCAGCAGGGGATATCTCTCCCAATCCTGGCCCTCTCTTTTCTAACACCCACCTTCCTAACCCGCACTGCCTTTCCTCTGGCAGCAGCTGCAATCCACACAACCTGATTTCTATTCCCCTGCTTCCTATAACCAGGCCCTCCTTCTCTTGTGCCCTCTGGAATGCCTGCTCTGTCTGTAACAAACTCACCGCTGTCCGTGATCTTCTCATCTCAAATTCCTTTAACATGCTTGCCGTCACTGAAACCTGGCTTCAGGAATCCAACTCTGCCTCCCCTGCTGCCCTCTCCTATGGTGGCCTCCACTGGACACACTCACCCAGACCCAATGGACGGAAAGGAGGTGGAGTGGGAATCCTCCTATCCCCGCAAAGCACTTTTCAAATTCTGCCTTCACCTCCCTCTCTATCCCTCTCCTCTTTTGAAACCCACTGCATTCGCCTATTCTCTCCAATTTCTCTGAGGATTGCTGTTATATACCGGCCACCCGGACCAGTATCTCGCTTTCTAGATGACTTCTCTTCCTGGCTACCCTACTTTCTCTCCTCAGAAATACCCACTATCATTCTTGGTGACTTTAACATTGCTACTAACATTAACTCCCCAGCTTCCACTCAATTTCTTAACCTAACCTCTTCTTTTGATCTAATTCAATGGACACAGACTCCTACTCACTCTGATGGTAACACACTTGATCTTGTTTTCTCCCACCTATGCACTCCTTGCAACCTCTCCAACACCCCTTTCCCACTCTCAGACCACAACCTGGTCAGTTTCACAATCACCCTGTCCCCAACACTGACTCCCCCTACAAGGCACACTGTCACCCAGAGAAACCTCCACCACCTCGACCTTTCTCTTCTCCACTCTGCTACTGACTCCCTCTTTGACAAAATCTCACCCCTGTCCTGCCCTGACCTGGCTACTTCTGTTTTTAACAACTCACTCTCATCCTCCCTAGACACCTTGGCTCCCCTCACAACAC